GTGCAGACGCAGGACAGGAAGATCCATCCGGAAACGGCGGCGGAGCTGGAGACGAACTGTGCGGATCCAAGGGATCAGAACAGCAGGGACCTCACCCTTGGTGCGCAAGGGGAAGACCGTGGTGTAACGCGAGTAGTCGTCGACAACCAGCAAAAAGTACCGCTCACCGCCCTGACCACGAACGCGGGCTGGGCCCCACACGTCCAGGTGGAGGGTCTGCAGAGGAGCCTCTGTCGGGGGGAACGAGGAGGAGTGAGGAGCGGCGCGCTGCCGCCCCTCGACGCAAGGAAGGCAAGGCGGCGCAGGCAAGGCAGGGAGGGGAGGGAGGGACCTGGGAAGACCAGACACAAGGTGGCGACGGTGCATGCCACGGAGGCGTGGCAAGGAGGGGTGACCCAGGCGGTGGTGCCAGAGAAGAGTCTGGTGCGACAGGGAACGACACTCACAGGCGTGGGCTACCAGACCTGACGCGGACACCTGACCGACAGCAGCGACCTGAGGAGACGCAGTGGTCAGTGTGTAGAGACTCGACCCCGGCTGACGGGTAAACGTAGCCAGGTGATGGCCGGTCCTGGAGCACGTGAGGATCGCCACACGCTGTCCTCCAGGGGTAAAGGTGTCAACCCACTGATCCTGGATGACAGCGTTGCTCACCAGGTTCGTCGAGAACGAGGGGAGGTGGAAACCCGACAACGAGCCAGACGGAACCGCTGGACACGGGAGCACAGTGGTGGACCGTGCAAGGACGGGGCCCCCAGAGGGGTCAGCCAAGGAGACTGGGACCGGTGCAGGAAGCGGTGTGAGCTCAGTACTGTCTCGAAAGAAGCAGCGGGAAGCACCTGAGTCAAGGGTGAAGGTGTGACAGGGCTCAGCCGGTGCAGTACCTGAGAGAGCAGTCTCTGTGGGTGCTGTACCTGAGAGAGCAGACTCGCAAGCAGCAGGGACAGTGCTGGAGGGAGCAGGTACAGGGGGCACCATACCAGAGAGAGCAGACTCATGAGTACCTAGGGCAGCGGGCCCTATACCTGGGTCAGGCGGCACACACAAGTAACAGTCTCCCTCGGCACTAACAGTCAATGCATACATGGCAGCAATAATAGCATCATAGTCAAGAGCAAAGATATCAACCCCAGCCCTCATCAGCTCAGCCCAGCGAGGGCGCTCAACATCCTCGCCCATCTCCTCACGCCAAGCGTCGTCAAGGCGGAAGAAGCAGCGGTACTGAGTGTGGAACTTTCCACACGTCTGCCCCTTGCGATCACCTGTGCGAATGACATAGGAACAGCGGCCACTGCCCCCCGACGTCCCACGCTGAGCAAGCCACTCACGAAGCTGCTGGGTCGACTGGGGACGCTGCTGCTGCTGGGAGCTCTGGCCCGAGCCTGTGCCTCCACTCCGACCTCCACCGCCGCCACTACCTCCGCTCCGACCGCCACCACCGCCACCGCCACCGCCACTACCGCCACCGCCACTACCGCCACCGCCGCCACTGCCGCCGCTGCCACCACCGCCACTGCTCCCGCCGCCGCCCCCGCCTCCGCCGCCGGCCCCACTCCCACCGGCACTCCCGCCACCGCTCCCTCCAGCACCGCCTCCCCCCCCACCTCCCCCACCCCCTCCCCCCCCAGCGCCACCCCCGCCACCCTTGCCCCCCTTGCCCTTGCCGGTGCGGCGCCTCCCACCAGGAGCAGAAGCAGCGCCAGCAGTCTCAGCACCAAGGAAGTCAACAGCAGCAGCAGTAGCATAGGAGGGAGCGAGGGGAGAGGGAGAGCATCCCTCAAAGATGGGGGTGCGAGGAGCGCCGCGAGCAGCACCTACAGCTACAATGCTCTTCTCGGCTGCTAGCAGCTTCTCCTCTAGGAGGGCGACAGTGAGCTCAGTGGGACAGCGAGCAAGGAAATAGTCGCGCACTGAGCTGAGGGTGTCAGGGAGACTGGTGACTATGAAGTGGAGTGCCCAGTACAGGGGAGGGGGGTTCTTAGCGCAGAACTCGGTGGGAAGGGCGGCACGCAGGCGAGCATCACTAGTGCGAAGGTGGGTGATAAGATCGGCGACTGTAGCAAAGGTGGACAGGTCAGGGAGCAGCAGGCGAGGCGGGCAGCGCTGCAGGCGGGAAGTGCGGCGGGCGGGCTGCGAAGCGGGCAGCGGGGCGGGCGGGCGACGCGGCGAGCGGGCAGCGCGGCGGGCGGCTGCGAAGCGGGCAGCGGGCGGGCGGGCGACGCTGCAAGCGGGCAGCGGGCGGGCGGGCGACGCTGCAAGCGGGCAGCGAGGCGGGCGGGCGACGCTGCAAGCGGGCAGCGGGCGGGCGGGCGACGCTGCGAGCGGGCAGCGAGTGAGCGGGCGACGCTGCGAAGCGGGCAGCGGGCGGGCGGGCGACGCTGCGAGCGGGCAGCAAGCGGGCGGGCGACGCTGCGAAGCAGGTAGCGGGCGGGCGGGCGGCGCTGCGAGCGGGCAGCGAAGCGGGCGGGCCGCGAAGCGGGCAGCGAGCGGGCGGGCGGGCTGCGAAGCGGGCAGCGGGGCGAGCGGGCTGCGAAGCGGGCAGCGGGGCGAGCGGGCGACGCTGCGAGCAGGCAGCGCGGCGGGCGAGGGGCGAGCGGGCAGCGTGGCGGACGGGCGACGCTGCGAGCGGGCGGCTCGGCGGGCGGGCGACGCTGCGAGGGGCGCGCGAGGGCGCTAGCGAGGGGCGCGCGAGGGCGCTAGCAAGGGGCGCGCGAGGGCGCTAACGAGGGGCGCGCGAGGGCGCTTTTAACAGCATTACAATTTTAACAGCAAGATGACGCAAAGTGGGTTCACTTTGCCAGACAGGGCGTAGCAGGGTGACGCGAGGTGACGCTCCCAAAATGGGAGGTTTGTTTTTTGCCCCGCACTGTTCCCGGCGCGTTGAGATATACCATGCTGAAGAGCTCAGCGGAATTCGGTTGACGGAGCCGAATTGCCAGGGTCAACGAGGGGGGTCGACACGGAGGGGTTCGACGAGGCGGGCGACTGACGCGCGTGCGGCGCAGGACGACGAGAATCGAATGGGCGCGAGGCGTGCGAGGTGCGCGCGAACAAGCAGTCGACTGGGAAGTGGTGACTAAGGCGAATGGCAAGGCTGTCGGTGGATCGTGTTGCTGTAATTCTAGCTTACAGGGTGGGGAGGAGGTAAGGAGGTTGGAGTGGAGTTGACTGGGTTTGGGCTGAAGAGCTCAGCGGAATTCGGTCGACGGAGCCGAATTGCCAGGGTCGACGAGGGGGGTCGACACGGAGGGGTCCGACGAGGCGGGCGACTGACGCGCGTGCGGGCCCGCCAGCCTGGCCCAGGGCTGGGCCGAGCGCACGACCGCCGCCCCGCAACCCCCCCCCCCCCCCCCCCGGAAAGTGAACAGCGACCCACGTTACCGGGTGGGGGCGGCGAGCTGGCGAGACCTCGCGCGAGGGAAAGTAACCCCGGCGCGAAGGCAGCCCACCCGTCCCTCCTGCCCGCGAGGTCCTAGTAACCCATCGCAGCCTGCCCGTACGGGCAGGTGAGGCCCGTGCGAAATTCAGGGGCTTCCTCGGGACGCTCGACGATTTCGCGACCCGTTGCGGTGACGCCACGTGCCCTCCCGTCGTTTCGCATCGTTATCTTTTATGCATGCGACATTTCGTACCCGCCAAAAATCGAGCGAAGTTCTGGGTCGCTCGCACCAAGGCGCACATTTTTCGCGACCCGCTGCGAAATCGACACGTGGTGCCGAAACGTCGCACCGCGTGCATGCGAATTTGCGTCCCCTGGCCGACCGAGGCCAGGGGACGTGACGTCGACCTGCTGGCTCGGCGGCGAGGGTGCACTTGTGCCACGCCACCCGTGCACGAGCCCTGCCGAGCCAGGGACCACGGCCCCCTGGGCGACGCTCAACCGGGCCTGCGAGGCTCCGCCTGGCTTTTCTTCGTTGGAGGTGGCCTGGCCCTTCATTTTCGCGTTCTCGTTTCTCTTTCATGTTCTTTTCCCACCTCTGCGCCTTCCATTCTCCCACCGTTTCTTCCCTTAGCCCGTAGCATAGCATCCTCGCTCTCCCGCCATGGCGGCCGACCAGAAAGCCGACGAAGCGACGCCGACCTCGCGCGACTTCCCCCTGTATCTAAGCGTCGGTAGAGGACTCACATCCAAGTTCGAGGAACACGACTACGCCGTTCTGACAAACCCTATGCTAGAGTTTAACGCCCGTTGCTTGGGACTCGGCCTCAAGTGAGTGCCTTATGGGGATGTCGGCGTAGTTATTTCATGCTGGTGGAGCCCTAGCGTGGTTTCATAATACCCGTCTGTCAGGTCGACTGACTCATGATTTAGGAATTAGGGATGTCGATCACATCGGTGGCGCCGACGTAAGGTGTCTGGTCGGCGTAGGCGATGCGTTGTGCCATATTCATTCGGCTCTCGTCGAATCCCCGACCCGTCGTGTTATTGCCGCAACCGTAGTATCTGCCGGCGTCCCGACCACATCCTCACGCACTCCTCCTGATCATGCATGCGTGCAGGCACGCATGGTTGCGCGGAACGGAGAAGGACCAGCGGCTGTGGTCGATAGGAGTCGGCCGTCTTAGGGCGGCGATGGGTCAGAACGACCATACCTGCTTCGCGAAGGTTTTTGACGCCGACGTGGCGGTTATCCCGCTGATATCGAGGTGAGCTGGTTCGGGGTCGTCGCGAGTGTGCTGCAACCTGCGTCGATTATGTGTTCTGATCTATGTCGACGTCCATTGTCTGTGCAGCATCGCACCGCTTCCGGGAACACATTGCAGCGTCATTATCATCCTGTGCCCCGGCGACTTGTTGAAGGCATCGGGCCAGTTGATCAGGACCTCGATCCGGCACGCCGACCCGCAGACTGTGAAGGAGTGGCACATCAAAGAGGCGAAACGCGTGCTGGAGTGAGCTCAATAGTGTAGTCGACGCCGCTTGCGTTGTCAATGCGGAGCGTGCACCGTGCTAACTGACCGTCTGTGCCATGCTTTGCAGGTTTTTCCGGGCGGCTGTAATGGCCGAGCTTCGGCGCGAAGGTAGGAAATGGGACTGGGCGAAGCCGTCCGAGGAGGAGGTGCATGCGAGGCTCGCCGACTGCGACGAACCCCTTCGAGATGTGAGTTTCGAACGATTGGTGTCACTTCCATGCGCGATGCAACTGCCGTTCGTCCTTGCGAGATGCGACTGCCGATCTCGGTGCTCATATTAGTGCGCTCCTCTGTTGTATGCAGAAAGTGCCCGACACCGTCCGGGACGGGGACGCGGGCTCCGGCCTGCTAGCAATGAGCGCGTTGCTCTGGGCGGTGAGGCGGAAGGATCGGTTGGCCGGCGCCCTCCGTCGCAGTGCCACCAGCATGGACAAGGTCGCTGTTGCGGGGTTGAAGGGGCTGCGCACCGAGATGGTAGCCTTCATCAAGAAGCAGGTCGCGCTCATACGGTCGGGCCGAAACGTAGTTGCGGCCGACGTCTGTGACGACGACGGCGAGGAGGTTCAGTCGGCGCCCCAAGCTGGCGGTGTCGCCCCCACCATCGCTGATGCGCGTGGCACCTCGGTCGGGAAGCCGGGTAGCGGCGTCGACGAGGCCGATGCGGCCGCAGGAAAGGGGGTGACGGGGACCGAGGAGAAGCACCGGGACGAGGTTGTTCATGGGGATGATGATGGGGTCCAGGGTCGTGAGGCGGATCGTGAGGATGAGGGGGGCTCGGAGGAGTCGGAGTCGGAGTCGGAGTCGGTGTCGGAGTCGGTGGAGGAGCAGGAGCAGCAGGAGCAGAAGAAGCAGGAGCACGAGAGGCAGCACCACGAGCAGCAAGAGGAGCAGCATGACGAAGAGGTGGACGTGGAAATGGCGGAGGGGAACGTTGCAGAAGGAGCGGCGGAAACGGGTGGGAGATCGGCGGAAATCGAAGGAGAGGGGAAGGGGGCGACAGCGGAACTCAGCAACGAGGTCGGCGAGGAGGCGGCTCACGGGGGGAGTGGGATGGTCGTTGTCGGCGAAGGGAAGGAAGTTGTCGACCTCGAGGCCGACGAAGATGGGGATTTCGCCGCGGCGACGAAGCAGACGGGCGTGGAAATGCATACCGATGCTACCGCAGAGAAGGCCGGGGGGGAGCGGTCCAGGAAAAAGAAGGCGGTGAGCGGTCATCCAAGTTCCACCGCAGTTGGTCGGCAGGCGATGCCGGACGTCGTCGAGCAGCTGCGTGCGGAGAACCGACAATTGCGTGCCGACAATGCACGCTTGCAACGGCAGCTCGGTGATCAGGCGGGGCGGGTCGACTGCTTGGCGGCGGCGGTAGCTGGGATCCTCGACAAGCTCACGGCATTGACCGCCCAGGTTGCGGACACCGACCGGAAATCGGTGGAGCGCCTCAAAGAGGCCACGTCGACCATGGCGGCCACAATCACCGAGGACCTCACCAGCAACCTGGAGAACGCAGTTGAATCGGGCAAGAGGTTTGCCGAGCTAGCGAGGCAGATGCTGCTGGATATTGACGCCCCCAACGGACGAATGGCGGTCGCTCGAGCGACCGCGGTGGACCAATTGGCCGACCACGTGACGGGTGAGGTGGGTGAGGCGAGGAAGGCTTTGGAGGAGACGTTCATAAAATACATCGGCGCCGCGCAGACCAACATTGCAGCCGCCGTGTCTCCCCGCCTCGTCGTGCAGCCGCCGCCGCCGACCACCCCAGCGCAGGCCTTGCCGGAAGAGTTCCTGAATTCATTCAAGGAGGATCTGCTGAAGGCGGTGACGGAGGTCACGCAGCAGTCTTTCCTCGCCTCCGGTTTGAAGATAATGACCGAGATGGTCGGCACTGTGGCGACCCAAGCTCGGCGTGGGTCGTCGCCGTCGGCCAACGACGCCGGCCATGCGCAACCTATGGAGGCCACGAAGCAGGGTCTGAAGAGGGGGGCAGGCGGCGGGGGGGGCGACGGAGACGACGCGGGGAGCACGAAGCGGAGCAAGGGAGCGGGGGGTTCTCGCGTCGCCGGCGACGGTAGCAAGAAGGCCGGAGAAGGAGGGGGGGGGGGGGGGGGGGGGACGGAGACGATTCGGCGAGCGCGAGGCAGACCAAGGGAGCGGTTGGTTCTCGCGTCGCCGGCGATGGGAGCAAGGGAGCTGGGGAAGGCAGTTCGGGGAAGCAGTCGGGGAAGAGCGTGCTCGACATGCTCAAGAAGCACTGGGCTGGGGTTCGAGCGGCCAGCACTGATCAGGGTGGTGGGGGTCCCGCCGACGAGCATGCCACTGATGACGCACTGCCAAGGGCTCCGCCTTCGGTCGCCGATAAGCCACCACGACAGGGTAGCGGTGAAGAAGGGCTGCGCGACAAGGAGAAGGCGGCCGCAAAAACGGCCCCAGCTGGCCAGGGCCCGAAGACAGGGGTCGCGGTGGCGTCAGCGGTTCCTCACCAGCCCCCAGCTGGTGCACGCCCTCCGACCGGACCGTCTGCCGGGCGACCTGCCGACGTCCCGCGCTCTGCCGACGTCCCGGCTGCCGACAAGGCTGGCCGCGCGGGGAAAGGGGCGGCAGTTGCGGACGCGCTCAAGGAGCAGCTCAGGCGCCTAGCCGGCCACAAGGCTGTTCAACAGCCCCCCGCTGCTGTCGATGTCCCATCTGCCAGTGTCCCAAAGTCGCCGGTCGTCGCCGCCCGTGCTCCTGCAGACCCAAAGTCCGCGTTGCTGCGCGCCCAGCTGGGCGCACTAGCGTCGACTGCGCCAACTCAGCAGGCTTCTGGCTCCGGCGCTAAGACGTCGTCGGCAAAAGTCGCACCACCCACCCCTGTGGCAGCTGAGGTTGAGAAGGCGGCGGAGAAGGGCGTTCGTGCCGCCCTTGCCACCGGCGGCGGCCCCGTCGAGCAGGCGCCCCCCGATGCTGATATCGCTGCCATACAGGCCCACCTGGATGCTGCCAATCCCCGACCGCTGGCCATCTCCGACACGGCACATGTGGAGCCTTCGGCGGGTCTCGTCGGCAGTCCAGCAGAGCCGACTGCGACCGGTGATGCTGTCGGCGATGGAAAGGCGAAACGGAAGGGGAAGGCGGGCTCACAGAGGAAGACGCGGGAGAAGTCGGAGGCGAAGGCGGCGGATAGAGGGAAGGGGAAGGCGGCTGAGACGGCGGCTGACAAGGATGGAGGCGGCAATACGGGGGTGAAAGGGAAAGCGGGGGAGAATCAGAAGTCGCTCGGCGAGGGTACGTCGACGGGGAGGAAGGGGAAGGACAAGTCGGTAGGAGAACGTGCGTCGACGGGGAGAAAGGGGAAGGAGAAGGCGGTCGGCGATGGTTCGTCGAAAGGGAGAAAGGGAAAGCGGAAGGCGGCGGAGGAGGATGTCGAGGAGGTGGAGGACGTCGAGCAGGAGGAAGAAGAAGAGGCGGAGGAGGAGGTGGAGGAGGTGGATGAGGATGATGAGGAGGAGGAGGAGGTGGAGGAGGAGGAGGAGGAGGAGGAGGGGAAGAGCAAGGAGAGGCGGGGTCATGGCATCCGACACGATACCTCGGGCGACAAGCTAGGATGGGTCGGCGAGATTAAGGTGCACGGCATCAATCGATACATCGGCAAGTCGCGTGAGAAGATGGAGCTCGCGTACGTGCACTCCATCGCGTTCGTCGTCTACGACGGTTTCGTGAGCAAGGTGCTCATGAACGAGCTCACCGTCCTGGACAGCGCCGAGTTGGAGAGGTGGAAGGAGGTGTGGGAGGAGGTCAGGATCTTGCCGACCGGGATGTGGACGGTGATGTGGGCCCGGGGAACGCTCCTTCCAAAGACACGGTAAGTCGGCAATCCTCCTACCCAAAGTCGATGTCGTTGTGGTGGTCACTAATGTTCGCCCTGTTTGTTGTGCTGGCGTGACAGGCTGAATGAGATCCTCGACAAGTATCGACATTACAAGACCACTGGCGATGCGCTGCACGCCGCGCTCCTGCCAGCGATATGGTACCCAGTCGATCCCGACACCGAGGAAGGCCGAGAGAAGTCGGCGTCCATGCTGTCCGCGTTGATTGGCCGCGTGTCAATGTGCGCTGCGTATGGGAAGACCGCTGCGACAGCGGCGAGAAAGGAGGGAGACAGCGACGAGAAGACGGATATGGCGGCATGGGCGTTAGGAGCATCCGCATGCGCTGTGTGGTGCTTCGTCGAGAACGGCGATGCCCAGGTGGAGGATGCTGTGGAAGAAGGGAAGGCGGCGGCGCTTGTGGGCGGAGCGAGCCAGGCGACCGCCGATGTATTCGGCAAAGTCATGGAGGCGGTGCTGAACGCCGAGATCAACAGGGACCGCCCCCTGGGAGAGGTTGCTTACAACGTCGCGCCAGCACTCAAGAGGACCGCCCTTGACATGGCCTATCCGGGGGTGGATGCCGGAGTCGATGCCGACGTGATCGCAAGAGCGACGGTCGAGACGATGGCGTTCTGGGGAATGTGCCCCGTCGCCGGGCCGAAACTCAAAGCGAGGGGCATCGCGGTGCCGATTGACGCGCAGATGAAGGCCGATATCGACAACAGGGGGAGAAAGGGTCAGAGGGGCAAGAAGGCGACGAAGGCCAAGGGCGGCACGGAGAAGAAGGGGACGAAGGGCCAGAAGGCGAAGGAGTCGGCGTAGTCGGGGAGGGGCATATGTAGCGCTATGCCTACTGCTAGCTTGGATTCATTGTTGCTTGGATTTGATGCTGCTATGGTCGATATCGTTTTGTGTGTTTCGGCTGTCGGACCCCTTTGATGCTGGTTTTTTGCGTTTCCTTGTGTGAGTGCATGTCGACTTTATGTAGGATGTGTAATGAACATTTGAACCAGTATCTTGTCACATCACGAAGGATACCAGGCCGACACGTGACTAACTATGTTAGAACTACCACATGAGCATTGTGAGAAACTCAAAGTCGACAACTGTATAAGTACGAAACACATGCATGCTGTAACAACATCATCTACAACATGCAACAGCCCACAATCGCATGTTGCTTGTGAGCATTCACGCGGTCTTCTTGCGCTTGGTCGACTTCTTGGTCGGAGGCAGCTTCCCGGCGTCGTTTTCGCGGGCCAGGTCGGCCAACGCCTTCTTCATCCCCTCCTCCCATGTGTCCGGGAAAAGGTCGGCGACAAACTTCTCCGGCTTGAACCCGCGCGCCACGAGCGCACTGGCGAGACGAAGCTTGGCAAATTCCGTCTTGCCGAGCCCCTTGACGCCCTTACCCTGCCCGGCATAGGTCGGTTTGTTGCCCGCGTTGAGCACCGTGAGGGCATCCGAGAAGGTCCCAATGCCAGGCGCCGCTATCGTGTTAAGCGCGTCGACGACGGCTTCGGTGTCGGCTTCGCCGTCGCTCCTGCGAAGCTGGCGCACGGCATCGATTACCTTCATCATGCGGCGCACCCTCGTCCCGTGTGCTCCCTGCGAGGCTCCGTCGAGGAGGGTGTGGCGGTCGACGAATCCCGGCTCGAAGAACCTGTCGCACAGACGACGGGTGTCGGCGCTGGTGCACGAGGTCCAGAGGCGCCACGCGTCCCTCACGGTCGTTGCATTCCGCCAAGGCTGAACCACGTTCAGCTCGTAGCTAGCCTCCTCGACCGTCTGTGGGGGTTTTTTGGGTTTCTTGGCTCCGTCACCCCTGCTTGCCGACTCCGCGGAGCCACCGTCGCTCGGCGATTGATCGTTCGCAGCTGGCGGCGCCTCCGGCATCCTACGAGCTTCTGAAACGCGGAGAGCCTCGGTGAGGCGGGTTATCTCGTCCGTCATCGACGCGATGGTAGCGTCGCGCTGCTCGAGCTTCTCCTCGAGGTCGATCTTCTCGACCGCTGACCGCTCCCTCTCGAGCTTCAGCGTCGTTGTGAGGGAGACGACCGCGTACTGGGCGTCATGGCGGACCGATATCTCCTGCAATGGTAGGCGAATAATGGTGCAGGTGAGGTGTTGTTATCGGGCACAGTGCTATGGGCGACGTTGACATAAAGATGACTCACCTCTGGCTGGATGAGGGTTGGGTCTTGCCGCTTTTTGATGGTCTCGGTGTCGGTCTTCTCGACCTTCTTCGCCCAGTGCTGGAAGAGGGGAATCCGGCAGAGCTTGGAATACTGGACGTACGGGTGCCAAGGCGTGCGGACGAGTTTCACAGCGAGGTCCTCGGCGACAATGCAGCAGAACATCTGGAGGGTGCGCCAGAAATGCACGGCAGCAACGTCGGCGTCGGACCCCTTCTTCGCGAGTTCTTCCGCCTGCAATTAGACAACAGACGTGGGTAATTACCGTGGTTGAAAGTACAGTGCCATGCGATGCTTGGTCGGTACCGATCGACATACATTCTTAAGGAGCTCGTCGACGCCGGGGAAGATGTGCTCGGCGATGAGCTTGAGAAGCTCGTCCGACGGTTCCACCCTGCTGCGTCCCAAGAAGTAGTCCTGCGTGTAGCCCGAATAGCCGGCCTTCTTCATCACCACGCCGACGGGAATGGCTGTGATGTAGGCTCGAGTCATCTTGTCGAGAGCCCAGTGACCCAGCTCGGCTATCTCGGCGCGAGGCGTACCGTTGATGGCCAGCTCCTGCGCCCCGCCTGCCCGAGCGGCATGGACGTTCCGCTTGCAGAACACCCCGTTCGTCTTCCACATCTGCCTCGTCCATCGCTGGTGGGTGGCAGCTGAGAGTTCGCCTTGGTCGGTGTCGTTTTTGGCGAAGAACAGGTGCTTCTTGTACCAGCGCTCGCGTGTGCTGGTGTCGACCGGCGGAATGAGGTCGACGCCGTGAAACTGGCCGATCTGGTCGAGGATGAAGTGTAGCCACAGTCCGGTCTCGCCGACGGCGCACAATTCCGCTTCGAGGTGCCGCGCGGCGTAGCTCTGCTGAAGACGCGCATCCTTCGACGTCTTCGAGTTCCGCGCGGCGACCACCATGACGACCGGCTGGTTATCCGGGTTCACCGACGAGGTGCTCGCCAGTCGGTACAAGAAGATGTCGGGGAGCGTGATCTCGCGGATGCTTGCACCGCGCATGAGGCTGTGGTGGGAGAGCAGCGTGAGCACCTTGACGAGAAGAAACCTCCACAGCGTCTGCGAAGGAGTGGTGAAATGCGGGCTCCATGCCGACGCCGCCCAAGCCGGCAGCACCCTCGTCATGATCTGGCGGAACTGTTCGGCGGTGTATGTGTCGCCGATGGTGCCGCGTCGACGGTCGGCGCAATTACTGTCGACAGAACAATACGGCGGTAGGATTATTAGGGCGATAAGCACAAATCGTCACTGACTAGAAAACGGCGCTGGATGCCAACTTACTTGATGTCTCTGCTTGCTTGAAGCGCTTCGCTCATAATGCGCCTTTCATGGGTGTTACACGCTGGCTCTGTGGTGCGGTACGTGGCGTGGTCCCAGCGCGGTAGTTCGAGGGCGGGAGACACTGCCGCGTGGCACCACGATGAAGACCTTCTGGTCGACGCCGACATTCCCGCCAGTATCCACTGCACCTAGGCAGAGGTAGTGGACGGTCGGATTTCGCCTTGGGCATGTGGGCAACCGTTGGATGATGGCCGTGTGGTACGCACCGACCTGGCAACGCTTGGGCGCGAAGTTTTCCCACGCGAAGCACCCCCACCTTCCGTTGGCCCGTCGTGGCCATTCTGGCTGTCCACGATGGCCCCGCCATCCAGGGGTCGATCTCGGACGTCCTTTTTTGGCTGCGTGGCGATCATCGCGGCCCGACGTGCCGAGCTGGGATGACGTCACGCGGCTGAGACGACCTTCTCGGGATTGTCTCAGCGGAACCCAAGGTCGACAGGTCGTCGACAATCCCGAGGGGTCACCAGCACTGGGCCCAGCCAGCTCGCCTGGGCTTTCCACGCGGTGGTCGTCGTGGGGTCGACAACCCCGAGGAGGGGGGTTGTCCGTTCTGGCCCGCGAAAATGGGCGGCATTTTTCGTCCGCTGAGCTCTATTATGCTGAGGCACGAGCGCAGTAGATGGATGGGCGACGGGGTGGGTGGGTGGGCAGGAAAACAGAATCGTAAAGGTTGCTTTATCTCAACTCTTAGGAATGCTACGGTAAGTTCTGTTTAAAAGCTGCCAGGGAGTACAAAAAATGCACATGGCGTGGAAAACTGTACTTAGCAACCTCTCGCCTTCCTGGGTGTTTGAAACTCGTTGGGGGTGCCAACATTCAAAATGCCCCGTGTGTCAGAATATTATGCTCTAGCCTGTAGTGGGGTGCTCTATAGCGAGTACAACCCTTCTAGGGTTTGCTATTTGTATCCCCATTCTTGCTAGTGCAAGCCCTCCTTTGCTCGTTTCTCTCTTGCCTAGCTAGGGTTTACCTAGCTATGGCTCATGATTCTAGCTCCTATTTTGACATGCTATCAGAGCGGTTACGCTCCTGGCCTGTGGGCCCGCCTGCTTCCGCTGCCTTCCTGTGTGTCGCGCGTCCCGTGGCGCGCGATGTTCGTTTTTTCTTCCCGCCGCGCGCTCGGGGCGCGCGGAGGTTTTCAGCCCGCCGTGCGCCCCGAGGCACGCGGCGGTTTCCCACCGTCGAAGCGCCCCCCGTCGCCCGTCGAAGCGCTCCCCCCCGTCGCCCGTCGAAGCGCCCCCGTCGCCCGTCGGAGCGCCCCCCGTCGCCCGTCGAAACGCCCCCGTCGCCCGTCGAAGCGCCCCTGGGACCCGCGCGCGGCCCGTACGGGCTGCGCCAGGCCCGCGCGCGGCCCGGGCAGCCCGCGCGCGCCTCGTCCGGCCTGCGGCAGGCCCGTGCGCGCGCCTCGTCCGTCCCCCGAGCTTCTGCCGGCGCCCCACCCCCGCTACTGCCCGCGTTCCTGTGTTAGGGTTTGGGGGTGGAGGGTATGGGGGTGCCGTGAGTGTGAGCCGTCCCCTTCTCCTCCTCCTCCTCCGTCTCCCACTGCTGCAGCTGCTGCTCAGGGGGGTGGGTGTGTGGGAGCCGAGGGTTTAGGGTTTAAGGGGGGTGCCATGGGAGTGGAGCTAGGGTTTCAGCAGGGGGTGTGTGAGAGGGGTGTGGGACGGTCGGGGGAGGTTGAGCGGAGGCCGCCGTCGTGTCGTCCGCAGCGCCTGTATTCCGGGGTTCTGTTAGCCACCGGTAGCTCAGAGAGCCGGTTGCACCTGTCGCCCGTGGGTCCGTTGCTCCTGTCGCTGCTGATCAGACGCAGAGCCTGTTACTCCTGTATTCCGGGGCCCTTGCTCCCGGTAGCCACTAGAGTTGCACCAGAGCCGTCTGTTGCCCGTGTGTCTGCAGCTTCAGTCGTCGCCTCCACTCTTCTCTCCTCTCGCCAGCCCTCCTCCTCCTCACTTGCCCTCTGTGACTGCCTCTAGCTTTGCTCATAATTGTGAACTTTAAACTATTGCTTCTTGAACTTGTGCTCAGAATGTGTGGTGACATTGTGATCCACCCTGAGCTTGTACTGCTTTGCTTGCTCTGCTGATTACACCCCACTTTGGCTATGGGGGTGTGTCAGAATATTATGCTCTAGCCTGTAGTGGGGTGCTCTGTAGCGAGTACAACCCTTCTAGGGTTTGCTATTTGTATCCCCATTCTTGCTAGTGCAAGCCCTCCTTTGCTCGTTTCTCTCTTGCCTAGCTAGGGTTTACCTAGCTATGGCTCATGAATCTAGCTCCTATTTTGACA